CACCCACCCACCCCACGACGATGAGAAAAGCCACAGGATTCCTCTGTAAAATTCTTTAACAACCGACAATCTACGGCAAGGGACAGCCGGATTCACTTCACCGAAAGGAAGCTGCACCGACAAACGCATTCCAACCAAGTGGATTCAACCACGAAACACTTGCCAAATTACAAATTCATAATGTGTCCGTTGTTCTTCCGCTTCCAAGGTCTGTTTATGCCTTCGCTTCCGTGGTGAGGCCCGCTGGGGCCCAAGGGCTCGCGTGCGGCGCGGAACCAGCCGTGAAGGAAGTCGGCGCTGTAATTTGGGCGCGGGCGCTGCGCGATCTCTCATTTGCGGCGCTGGCTGGCGCGGCCGCCGCCGCCGCTGCCGCGCGGCGCTGTAATCAGAGGGCGCGAGAACATCTTCACACGTCGCCTCCCGCGCAGCCTCCGCGCGCTGTCGCGTGCAGGTAAACACGAGGCAACGCCGACTCTTCGCTCCCCTAATGCTGCCCATTCGCCACGAAATGATGCCGTAAGCGTCAGCACTTAATTCCACCCTGGCGCGTTAAAGTTGAAAACGTAGCATCCAAGAAATTAGCGTCTTTTGTTCCTCTCGTGTAACTGCGAATTTTTAACAGGGACAGATAGTCGTTTCTAATCTTAACTCGCCTTTAAAGTTACGTGTTTACTTCTCTTGAGAAAGAACGGATTTGGAACATATTGCAGGGAACGGGCATGAGAACGCCACAGGGCGAAGCGGAGGGCGTCGTTCGCCCCTCGTGCCGTCCAAGGGCGCAGCTGCGGGACGGCAGAAGAGTCGGCCGCGCCGTCGCACAATCGGCGCCCGCAAGACAAACGACGGCGTCGGCGCGCCGCGCCGCCCTGCGCCGCGCTCGTCGCATTTCCATGCGCCACGCCCACCCGCCCCGCCCACTCACAAATATATGTATGTTAAGACGTTTCCTCAGCGAGCGGGGAACGAAAAAGGGCGGCGCGGGCAATAATGAACGCCCTACCTGCCGCGTCGCGCGGTGGGCGCAGGAATGTTCTTCATTAGGGCCGTAGCTGCCTTGACAGGGGTCGGCGAGCGGGCAGACCGCTTCTCTCCTCTCTTTCTTCTTTTTCCATTATTTTTTTCTTTTTCCTGTTCTTTTTTTTTTCTAGCGGTGACTTGAATCGTAAATTTTCGCGAATCCGAATCAGAATATGAAAAAGGTGACGAGGAATTCATGGAAGCTCCCGAAGGGGAATCTTTTGAAATAGTCGTTTAGCAATACTATTAATATAAATATATAAAAGGTTTAAGTGTTTAATCACAAAATCTAAATAATCTTCCATAAGAAGGACGATTTTTTATTGATTGCAATAAACAATATATTGAACATGCTCTTTGAAAATGTAAAAGTTATATGAACATGGAAAATTTCACTCATGTTCTTTATATTAAGTGGAAATAAATATAAAGATTTGATAGCCTAAAATTAAGAAGTCAGAATACAGTTATTGTTATATTAAGTGCGTAAAATAATTGTATTTTGCTTGATAAAGATTGAGCGATTTCTGCCGACAGCGGTAAGTCGAGGCAAACAAAGCGAGATCGTACCTATTGCAATCACTTCGGTCGCGAAATATAAAGTATTTTTTCTTCGATCGCGTAAAAATGCTTTTATGACGAAGTATTATTTGTCTCATATCTGCTCTACATGGCTACGGAAACAAAGCGCCACTTTGATTAGGCATCTTAGGGCGGAAAAGTATTTTTTTACAGAGAACGACACGTTTTTTAGATGTCAAAAGAAAATCACTGCATTCACGAATTATACGTAAAATTACTCATTTTTATATCGATCTCAGAAAAAAGTACTTTCATTGGAATTGAAGTTTGAAATTGATAAATTCGAATCGCGAAAATGCGAAAATCCAAAATCTTAAGCCTCCAAGTCTCTCTGAATTCGTAGATTCCAACCCTTGAAGGTCCCATCCTTTTCTTCTTTTCTCCCTCTCTTCCCCTCCGCCTTCTCTTGTTCTTGCGCGGCGTTCGGGAGATGGCGGCCGGCGCAGGAATTTTTAATTTCCCCGAGGGGCTGCGCGCGGCGTGCCTCCAAGTCGCGCCGCGCGCTCTTCATATTTATTTACGCGCGGNAGGGGCAACTTCTTCTCCGTGGGAACGCGCTGCGGCGAGGGCGCTAGATCGAGGCGTTCGGCGCCGCGCCTGGCAACTTCGCGGTCCGTCAAAGGGTTCTCCTGATATTTGGGAACAACATAAGTAAGGACGTTCAACAAATCGAAAGGAATTTGGGAGAAATATTGGAAAAGCGCGAACTATAAAATGCGTTGAGACGTTTTGCTTTTTCATGTTTTCCTTCGTAGATGCTTTACAAGGTTTGGAATCTCAATACTATAATATATATATATAACTAGTCCATATAGTTATATTATACTACTATACTAGTGTCATAGGTATATATTAAAAATAACAATTTATATGCATTAATGATGTGCTTTGCTATAATCAAATGACTAATTTTGAAGAAATTCTTCTTCGGTATCCTGACAAACGAGTGGAGGTAACTGGGTTGGCGAATAGCAGTTTCCTTTTACGCCTAAAAAATAGACCTTGAAACGAGAAGAAAGAGTTTTCTGACAAAGATGTGTAAATTCGAGAAAGGAAGAATCTATGGTGGCTTTGCCAATCAGTAAGTAATAGTGAGAGCCACACAGGGACAAAAGCGCGCCCCTGCGCCCCAGTTTGTGCTCTGAAGTTCTGAGTGGGCGCGCGGAGCGTGCTTCACGGGTGGACGGGCGACGCGGGACGAGCGACGGCGTCTCGCGTGCGTCGCGCGCCGCGTGCACCGCGCGTCGACCCCGCGTCGCGGACGCCCGCCCGCGCCAAGCCGTGCGCGGGCTCGAGCGCGTCCCGATCGGTTGTTCTTGGCTCCGACCCCCTCCCCCCCCCCGTGTGATGGCCGCGCGCGCTCCCCGCCCCTGGCGGCCGGCGGCGGAGGCACGACGTCCAATGGCCTGGCAGCGGAACACCGCCTGCGGGGTGGCCCCTCAGCAACATCTCGGCCGATAACCATCTTCAACACGCGTCTGTTCCGCGACGACTTCTAAAAATGTGGTTTTGAACTTGTGCTACATCTCGACGCAAGCGGCAGTGAGTGTGTGGGTGTGTATTTTGGGACTTGTTCGTGGGTGAAGGTGTTGCTGCGAGTGGAGAGCAATCTCGCCGCTACAATGCTTGATGAATTGCATAATTGAAATGATAAAATGTTGTGATGCGGTGAGTGAGCGTCTCCTGCTCCGTGGCTGCTTTCGCCCCCGCCTCTGCGTCGCCCTCCGCCGAAGGCCACAGCAGGCGCCACCCCCGCCGCTCGCGGCTGCAGCGGGCGGGCGAGGAGAGAAACTTTTTCGTTCCTGTTAGTTCTCTTCGAGTGGATTACGTATCATTTCTTGTGGATCGAATTCAGTACACCAATAAGAAGAAGCAGAAGAAGAAGACGTCAGAACATGGACCTCGTTTTTGCCTTTTTCTCTTTTCCTCTTTTTATTCAAAAAAAGGAAGAAATGTGTCTTTTTGTTACGTTTATGAAGAAGCCTCTTTCGAAAAGAAGCAAGTATCATTGTGTCGTTGTTCTAAGAAGTTGAAGCTAAATGTGTGAAGGGAGGTGACAGGAAATAGAACACTACAATTGCAATTGCGTGTTTTTGCTGTGTAAATATCATTAATATATTCTACTGTAACGCCCGCGAGAGACGCGTGGGCGGATCGCCCGTGGAGCGGCTTCCGCTGTGTTGTTTCGCCGCCGGGCGCTCCTCTCGCCCGCGAGTGCGCGACCTGGCGTCTGTCTGTGCAGGCTCGGTTTTCCTTTCCTGGGTGCCCCTCCGTTGTGTTAGTGGGGAATACGTTCTTTCGCCCACCGCTGCGACGGACTCACCCTCCGGGGCGGGCCTGGTGTCGCTGCCACCGCCCCGTTCCCATCAGCCAAGAGGACCATTTCGAACACGGGGCCTCTCCCCGCGAGGCGGTCTGGGGTGGCGCCTACGGGCGCAGGCGGTAAAGGCTCGGGAGGAGCCTAGACCAGCTGTGCTCGCTCCTCAAGGGCAGGCTGACTGCTTCCTTTGCCGGCGCCTGCGCTCAGCCCCCGACCTTCGTTCGGGGCTCATTCAACATGTCCCGATCCGGGGATCTGGCCGTCGCAGCGGTGTTTGTCTTTGAAAAAGACGCGTTCGTTTGTTTGTTAGTTCGTTGGTCAGTTTGTTTGCGTGTCGGGGATTTCGGTTCGGCTTTCGGGCGGCACCGCGGCGGCTGGAGTCCCGGCGCCGCCCAACGCAGGCTTCGCTGTTGACGCTTCCGCTGATGTCGCGACTACGTAAAAACAGTTCCTACTCTTCTCTCTGACGTTTGCGTGGATTAGTGGACACTTCGGTAAAACATGAACCAAGTTTCAAAATTATTTCACTCTCAAAAAACTATTTCTTTCGATGTAGAATTACCAAATAAAAATTCACGTGTTAAATTTAATTGTTTTATCTCGAATCAACAGCGAAACCTGCGAGTTGCTGAAACGTCACTTTGCACTCTAATGGTAAACCAATGTACACATTTCCTTTCACCGATATCATGGCTTTAATATATTTTAAGAAAAGGAAAGGATTTTTAGAGACGAAAAAACAAAAAATAATTTCGACCGAGAGCTCAGTTCCCTCTAGGACCCTCAAGAGTTTCCCGCCGGAAAGTGTGGATCTTTCTTTCAACTCAGAGCATGCTTTGAAGCGAAGGCGTTGTGTACATTCAGTGTAAATAACTATATTGATATATATTCTCCCCTCGCTCATCTCTGCCTCTCGTGTTTTCTCAGTCCGGCGGGGGCACGGCGGCCCCCAGGCCCCCTGCCCCCCTGGAAATGCTCGCGCCCTTTCGTTTTGTAGATAAACACTTTTTCTCTTCGCTACAAATGTTTAAAAATAACAAATGAATACTTATTAAAATAAAAAGCAACTAATCTAACAACTCTAATTATCATTATTATATGAAATAATGAGCAAATGACATATGTGTAGCCACCGTCAAGACAACACGACATCACTACTAGTGCTGCAACATAAATGTTTCTCAAAAGATGAAAAGTAATAAAAAGTCGTTATGTGTGAATGCTGAATATTGCATTTGTATTTTATTTACCCTGGCACCTATCCTTAATTCCCACACAAGTTACGTACTCCTAAACTACTTTCAAGTTCAGTAAAAGAGTTAAAGCTATCAAATATATAATATTATATATGTATTATATATATGATATTATATATATATATATATATATATATATATATATATATATAGTGGACGGATATATTCAAAATTTTTGCTATTTCTGTGACAAATTTTTACCCATTGCACTGCTTTTACTTGATTGAGATCTCAGTGCAACGTTAAACAGAAGAAGAAAAAATTATTACAATAAATACTTGCCTATACAAAAACTATATATATTATATTGTTGACTTCTGATACAATCAATGAGTGAATATTTAAAAATATGAGTACCGCACAAAAAAACGTTGTAGCAGAAATGTTTTCAGAAAACTATTTATTTGGTGTGATAGTTACATAAATATCAATATTAACGCATTTACATGGGAGAAACATAAAAACATTAATTATATAGGATTACGTTACATTAAATTATTGTACATATTAACACTGAAACATTATACTACACTTGTGTATGCAAGTGTATTTTGAACTACAAAATTACACTTTTAAAGCTTTTTATCATACAACATATTTGTAACAAATTTTTCAAGAAACAGACTTATAGGTCGTTGCTAATCGATCTTTATGAAGAAAACAATAAAAAATATAAAAAATCTATAGTATTTTGAATGAAATGCTTCTAAATCTACATTTATTGAGTATGTTTTTGAGATAACATAACCATCAAAACTTCATACACTGAGCATTAATGAGTGAAGTTTCTTTCGTATGATAAATTTCATTCTTACCTTAAGATCGCAGAATGGTTCACTCAAACGTCTTTTAAAGAAAGATGCAATTAGAGAATGTGCACCCTCGATAGATTCATATTTGTTGTCTTATTTATAATCTATCAAAATTCATGAACGGACATTAATGTTATTATGCTGAGTGCCTTCAAGCTGAACGGATACGTTCTCAAGGGTCCGCTTCGGCGGCCATCAACCTACAGCCACAGTAAGGACGTCCTCCTGCTTTATTTCGTTAGTGATCCAAAGTGATATTTAAGAGCACAGTGCACCGCTGAACGTCAACGAAGTGGGGCTTCTCCTGTTCAGCCTTACGTGGATGCATCGATACTAATCTTCGCCCTTCTACTCAAATCTCTACGGCTAGCAGCCTAGACTACTTGTATAACCTCTAGAAACTCTCACAACGGAACTTGGAACAACATTTTCAAGCTGATATCAACAGGCAAGCCATCGGCAACAGCTACATCATGTCAGTAAGTACTTTATAGATACACTTCTTTTGCGCAAGACCCCGTAGATGATCAAGAAAATGAATCCAACCCGTAAACTTGTAGTTCCAAGGGTGGCTGTAAAACCCTCACCAGTTTTTATGCATGAAGTAGAAAACTATAAACCACTTTTCAATGATATTACATAGATTATAAGAAACAATTTTAACGTACTTTAAAAGTGTTTTCTCAGACAAGGTCAATGTTGTTAGCAAAAACAACTAGAAAAAAGGTATTCATTTCATACTCAAAATAATAATTTAAATATAACACATTCTGTGTCCTCACAAATAACTCACGAAATGATATCAAACGTGATTTCTCACATAACTAGTCCAAAAATGAAGTTATCCAAGAACTTTAGACTAAAAATTATATGATGTGAAGGTTACCTTTCTATTAAGATAGATGACATCCTCGTGCTCTTGTGCGTAAGTAAATGACAAAGTGAAATATTAACAATTACTCGAACTAAATATATTAATTAACTCGATAGTTTCAGTTTACTGTTGTCGCGGAAACAAGAATACAGTAAGATGCAAATGTCAAGATTTCAGCTACTCCCAAAATCTATTGGAGGAAAAATCCGAAATGTGTTAGATGGTCGCTCTCCCACGAAATTTGCAGGT